TGGGCGGTGGAGGACTTAGAGCTAAGACACCCCAAAACTCTCCGGCGGGAGATCCAAAATGGATCGGACGATGGAGGGGGGGGGGGTGCTCGTTGCTTGAAGTGGACCAATATAACATAGAGCCATCCAAGCAAAGCTTATTACTCACCTGAACGACCTGACCAACCACGCAAAAACTGCGGAGCTAGATGTGCGGCACGCACAATGAATTGTTTTCGATTGGAGAGAGGCGAGTACAAAGCAGTAAGGAATTGTCGGCCAAACTTTCGGCAGATAGGTCTACTCGGGAGCGTAAGTGGGGTAGCAACCCATGGTGGAGCGTACACGAGAAGCTGGACGTTGGTGTACGATCCATCCCGGCGTGTGAGTAGGATCTTAGGCTATGCAAGTCGTCCCTGAACTTATTGTGGTGAAAATGACCTCCCAGGAGGAAAGTAGCCTGTACCGCGGGACTTCGGAGATGATAAATTGGGTGGTCGGGGGACGTCTGCGGTGTTTACTAAGTAGAACGCCCGGCACAAGACTGGGGTACTTGTGCCAGGAGGTGTGAACTTGGATCTAGACTACGAGCCCATGTTGGAGGCGCTATTTAGCGTCGGTGAGCCGGCAAAAGAACTGAAAGGAACCGCAACCCCCACCGGACACTCGGATTGGGAAGGCCGAGTATTCCGTATACCTTACCTGAAAAAACACGAAAAACAAGTGGCCGCGGTCCAGTTGCTGTAGAGATCATGAGGATGGTGAAGAAGCCGGGAGGATGGAAGCAGAAACTGTGGAAGGGAGACAGGTTGGAGCTGCTGCTGTTTGGAATTCCAAGGGACATGACGAGGATAGAGTTCAAGAACTGTTGTGACACGGAGGGACTGCACTGCCTAGCAAGGGGAGAACTAGGCAGAGAGCATGAACATTTCCGGGTGAAATTGACCAAGGGAGACAGTCAAGAGTGCTTGGGGGTTGACATCGAGAAGCTGTCGAACTACGTAAGGAAGTTTGGATGGAGGGTTTGTGTCGCGAACATGATAGAAACAGAGAAGGTAAGGCAACAGGAGGCGAGGGCGATAGAGGCGAAGAAGAGACCGGGCGGGGGAGACGAGCAGGCAAATCAGAAGAACGCCGAGAAGAAGCGGAAGGCGAAGGATAGAGTGCGCAAAATCTCCAATAGGGAAAAGCACAAGCTGAGAGTGGGGTCGTGGAACGTGTGCGGGTTCGCAAGGAGTGAGCGCAAGCGGTTGGAAATAGTGGACCAAGTAGAACAAAGCGATCTGGATGTAGTGGGGATCCAAGATACGTGGGAACTGAAGGATGAGGACGTGGTAAGCAAACTAGGGAAGTACCGGTGGGTAGGGAAGGCAAGAAAGGGCTTAGACCCGAAGAAAAAGGGGGAGGGGGGAGTCGGATTCCTGGTCAAGGAACACTTGTTTGACGTGGTGGAAGTAGTGGTGAAAACGGAGTTCGAGGAAAGCCTATGGCTTAAGATACCTGGGGAGCGGGGTGAGAAAGATTTGTTTTTAGGGAACGTATACGTCCCACCGTCGTCGAAGAAAGTCGCAAGCAAGACGCAGGAGAACTTCGGACAAATTGGGGAAGATGTCCAGAGGTTCAGTAGGAAGGGAGAAGTTGTCATGGTGGGCGATTTCAACTCCAGAGTAGGGAAAGCTTGCAGTAGAGGACAGGCGATCGGGCAGCACGGAGAAGACAAAGTGAATGACAACGGAGTGAGGATGCTTGAATTCTTGGGAAACAACGAGCTGATGGTGTTGAACGGTAGGAGGGAAAGCGATAAGCCGGAGTTCACCAGGCAGAGGGCAGTTTGCAATGAATACTCGATCCTCGACTACATCCTGGTAGATAGGGGGAGCACACAGGTCCCGGAGCTGCACGTAAGTGCGATAGATATACGTTCGACCGACCATTTCCTCATATGGGCAAACATCGGCCGATCTAGAAAGACGGAGAGTAAGAAAAAGAGGAAAGTGTTCCGGTGGAAAGTAGAGCGTTTGGGAGACGAGGGGACACGCGATGAATTCCAGAAGAGATTGGCTGGTAGTGTAGAACCCTTCAGGAAACTGCTGAGAAGCGTCGAAGACGGAAAGGTAGACGCACAAGCAGCAGGGGACAGCGTGATTGAAGGATGGGAGTCCATAGTGAACACAACGGCAGAGAGAGTAGTGGGAAAGAAGGTGGTACGATGTGGGGTATCGGTTAAGTGGTGGGATGACGAACTGAAAGAAGAAATAGGGGAACGTAGAGAAGTCTTCAAGCAGTACCTGGGTGAGGGGTCTGAAGAGAGTTGGGAAAAGTACAGGGCCAAGAGGAAACAGGTGAAGGGACTAGTGAAAAAGAAGAAAAAGTGCATTTGGGA